AGCAGCAGCAGCAGCAGTAGCAAATAAGAGGGTTAAAAAGATCCAGTTGTTTCCCATTCACACCTGCACAAATCTACCCTCTTGACAGCAACTGCAATTTGATTTACAACAGAGGTCAAAACTGCCTCAGCCTTTCCTCTGTGGTTTGTTAACTGGTTGCCAAGAGAATCGGCATTCACAGCATAATGTCTTCTTTGGTGGCAGAGAAATCTTCCAGAAATAGAGCATTGGTTAGGTTTTTGGCTGTTTTTGCAGACTTTATAATAGACTTTCCTATGGTCAAAATATTTTAAAAATTTAAGCCCACAACAAATATCTGCCCTGAAAGCCCGATTTTTTTTTTATTTTTTTTTGGAATGACCAGAGGAGAAAAAGAATAAGAAAAGGAATTCAAAAGAGATAACCAGAGGCTCCCAAACTGCAATGGGGATTTCCTTCCTCCTCCCTCCCCCGAAGAGATTATTAGGCACGTGTGACTATCACAGTTAAAGGAGGAGGACAATTAGTGCAACTTTCCCCAAAACACGTACGATTAAAAGTTCTGAACAGTCAATGATATAATAGGTGCACAACTGAGGAAGTCTAAAGCTATTTTATTTGTCCATTCCCATCCCCACCTTGAAGGAGAAAACGGCAAACAGCTTCTTCCCCCCATGCCTGTCCCTCTCTGTAATGTGCTCATAAGACTTGCCATATTTCCCCCCCTTTCTAACACCTGCTGCTGTGGAAGGTGGTTGGATTTTTCTGAGATAAAGCCAGCTTTGGTGTATGGCAAGGCACAACCTCTTTTTTAAAAAAAATGGGCAAAAGCAGGAAGCCATCCTACTTGCCAGGCACGCCCAGCTAAATGGGGCTGAGCAGTCAAAGAGACCAGCAGCCCTCCTTACTCTTCTAGTTGCCAGCTGCTTTAGCTTTTTTCCTTGGGGGATCTGTTTTTTGAGTCAGGTTTATTTCCAAGTAACTTCAGCACTTTCATTGGTTTGAATTTTCCTTTCTTCTTGCTTTCAGCCTCAGAGTCCTTGCGAAATTCTGGAAAGAGAAAGAGTTAGGGTTAGTGGATGCAATGTAGAGGGGATTAGGAGCATAGAAGGCTCCCTTAAGAATCAGCCAGACTACTCAACTACTGTCTTTGCTTAAACTGAACAAAAGCTCTTGGTTTTCAGAAACTATTCTTTCCTAATGCTACCTCATCAAGCACTGAACTAACCCAAGGTCCTTCTGATAAGACATGGAAAGGCTTTCTTGGACCACGGAGGATGCTTAAGCAATATATCCAGAAAATGCCTCAATGACAGGATTTACAGGAATGTAAATTTTATATTTTAAATTTTGCATTTAGTGACTAATATTCAAAACTTGCACGCGGATATCATCTAAGAATATCTGCATGTTTTCTAAAACTGAGATCATCTTGGAATCAGAGCTAGCAAAGTTTACAGAATCTGCAGTTGTGTTCAGATTTTCCCCCCTCCTGTATTGGATTAAGAAATAAAAGATTTTCAGATGGCAAATCTTAAGCCCATAACAGCCACTGAACTTGTTCATTACTGAATCTGCACCACTCTGGGAACGAAAATAGAATCTCAATTTAAAATTATTACCCTATGCTCAGAATCAGTCCCAGACAATGAACTGTTTTTGTTACAGGACAAGTTTCTAGCTTTTATGACAAATCACAAAGGATCCTGGATTTCCAATATTTTGGGCAGAATTTCTATGCCTTCTATTTGTTTTTGCTCCACTGCTAGCAAAAGCAATGTAAAATAACAAAATTAAATGCATGTCCCTGAAAAATGTTCATGGCTTGCATTTTTCCCCCCTTTTGAGGTATTTGCTTCAAAGGGAAGGAGGACTTTCTTCTTCTACACTAGCACTGGAGGAGAAAGGCAGATTTAGATCCATTGGTATAATGCCTCAGTTTACCTCCTCTTTTCACATAACTTTCTTTGATCTCTACGATAAAAGTGAGTTGCTCCTCTTCTGTGTTGGCACAGGGAAAGAAGCTAAACCAACACAACTTCCCTCTCCCTTGGTTCATGGTAGCAAATGTGCTGCCTCTTTTGGCAAAGATGTTCCCTAACAACAGAGAAGTGTGCCAACATAATATATTGCCAAAGCCAATTTAGGATGGAGAAACATTACTTTTTATTTCCCATTTCTAATTCCTCCCATCCGAACAAAAAGGAACAAAAAGTATACTTTACTGCTACGATGTATTGTGGAAAACAGGATAGGTTACCCAGATGTACTTGGTTTATATTTTATACTAATTATACAATTAGCTTTTGTCAGGATAGAACTGAAGTTGGTATGGGTATAGATACCTAACATTTAGTTATTTTGTACAGAAGACAGAATAGTTAAACAATACCAGTGCATAATTCTGCAAACAGCGACTGCATCTGAGACTGGGAAGTCTGAATGATTGGACCTCATTCTTCTTACCTTTTGTTTTAATCATGGCTTCCAACATTTTATCCTCCTCTTCCTCCCTGATAAAACAAGCAGATCCTGTTTTAGTCAATATAGCCAAAGTGGGACTGATTAGAACAAGAATCACTCTCCTGAAGCAGAGAGGAGCTGCTATTTGGTGACCAAAATCTGTGTTTAATATTTTTCAAATGGGTGAAGGTCCAAATAGGGAAAATGCATCACACATATACTGTTGCCTGGATTTTCATTTTTTAAAAAAATAGTTTTTAATTCTATTAAATATTTTTTTTGGGGGGGGGCATTCATTACATTTTGTGAATGTACCCTTTCCTGAAAAGATAACTAACAGGGGCAGGGGATTCCTGAAGCTGCATATTGCCCACCCTTCTATATATATCTATACTACCCTTTTGCCCAAGTTTTTAGTACTACTTGGCTTAGCTTATCAAATAATTAATGGTAAGAATCACACATGCAATTATGCTTCGCAGTGCTACAATCAACATTTCCCAGGCCAATTGTTTTCAATTAACCAAAAATACAGCCTTTTGCTTTTCCGTTCACTACCTTTGCCGATCCTCATCCAGACTGTTGACAATGGCATTCCGTTGTTCAATAATGGTTACAAGCTCTTCCATCAATACCTTGTCTCTGATTCTGTCGTCATCTGTCCAGTCTTTATCTAACACCCCCAAAAAAAGAAAGAAGGGAAACAAATTATATAATAAAGACAACTTATGCCCTATGAAATGTTACATTAGAGAAGTGCTTTTGACCCCCCATTATGCATCTTCTTCACTACATATTATAAAGCGCTGAGAATATATAAAAGATTGGGCAAAGTTTGCTTTTCTATCTTGCTTGAATAGTGGCATCTTCAGTAACACAGCAACAAGATTCTCTGGAAATCTACTGCCATCAGAACAAACTATAGTAGATTAAAACCAGGCAGGTTCCTATATTTTATGTGCCATTGAGTTTCTTGTCTGAAAATGAACAATAAGAACTCACCAAAATATGGTGGAATTGAATAATAGTAATCCCGAATCATCTGGACCACCACTTGAACACTATTTGGTATCGACAAAATCACCACCAGTCAATTGGAAATGGCAGCTTTACTTGGAACAGTTTGCATCCTGTGACAATACCTTTAACACCATCAAACAACATCTGTCTATCCCAGGCCCTTGAGAAAGATCTGATAGGTGTATAAAAATGCCAAATCCAATCTATAAACATCTGTCTGACTATGTAACTATAATTATTATTCTCATTTATATTAGAAGATCAACTGTGAGTTCAATACACATTTGAATCCAGTCATGAATCAGTAAGTTCTGATATCTTTCAACAGGTCATTATGCTTTCAGCCTATTTTTGGAGTTTCTTTTTTGTTGGATTTCTTGCTATTAGGGCAGAAATAGAGTGCATGCAGAAAAGCTCTTGGTTAGAAACAGAGACTCTCCTTTTATAGAACAATACTCCCTGCTAGCAGGCAAGATATGGTGAATTAAATAAAAAACATAAAAAAGCAATAAGCACAGCTCAGTCTTCCCCATGTAATTCCTCCCAGATGTGTCAAACTGTAATTCTCATCATTTCCCTCCAGCACAGCCCATGCATAACCGATACTGGGTTAGGGAAGAATCAAACCCAGTGAGAGAACAGATGCTTACGATTTAAATAATTTCCTAATGCTACAACATATTTCACTTAAGATCATTTTTTTAAAAAAGCAAACAGCAGGCTAACACCCTTTAAAACTTGCCAGGTTTATTAAGAAGACATCGCAGTTCATATTCCACATCAGCTTGACGCTGCTCCAAGTTCTGCTGCTTAAAACTCAAAAGAAGAAACAGAGCATGTATTATTGCTTTAATTATTGTAAAAACTGATATACCATTTTTAAGGACCAACACAGTTCTCTCAAATCTTCAGTTTAAAAAAAATGCTTTATTTTACAGCATTTTTGCACAATTTCTACTATGCAAAAAAGACACTGCTTATGACTGCCCCCATATTTGCATTTCTGTTGTCATTACTGAATTTGTTGCTATTGAAATACTGAATAAATTCCAGGTAGATCACTTTTCCAAAGGTCAAAAGAACTACTTTGAATGTTTTATACTCATATCTCTGGGTTTCCTACAAATAATCAACTGGCCATTTTGAAACAATATTGAATTAAATAGGTAAGCATTCACTTGTATGGGATATCCTTCAGGACTGTCCACAGGAGGGAAAGCCAGCTCAATGTCCAATGCCACACGAGTTTGGCAGGAAAGTTGCTTAACAATAAAAGAGTGCTCCCGTCATCAGACATTGGTAGCTGCCAAGTGTGACGGGCTAAATAGCATCAAATTTTTTACTTCTATCTTTTCAGCTTGGAAGATATTGACAAGAAATGGTTCCTGAATCATCTAGATTCTGCTATGTTACTTCTATTTCTTTAGTATATTTGAAGGTGACTTTATTTCTGATGATATTGCTCCAAGATTCTTCCATAATTTTCCACGGCTGTCAGTGGAATATAAGTGAATGAAAAAATGCTAGCCATTTTGCTTTCATTCTGTGCCCCATGTGCAGGAAACTACCCAACTAATGAACTGCTTCTTACTGTAGGCATTTTAGGAAGCCAACCACATTAATTTATAGTGGTGAAAAATCTGAAGGAGTCTAATGCCACTTTTTCTGACAAATAAATTTTATTAATTCATAAATTTTCATGAATGCAGCTCACATAAGGAGATGCATAAATGAAGTGAGCTACAGCTTATGGAAACCTAATGACTTTGAATTGCCACCTAACAAATATAATTCATAGCATATTTATTCAAAAGTAAGTCTCACTGAACTCAATACACTAGTAAACATGTTTGGGATTGCAGCTTATATTGTACTTACATATAGATAAGTTCAGACTCTCGACGCACTAGCATATGTTTCTCATGAATCAGCTTAAACCAATCCACCAGCAAACCATCTTCAGGGACATCTGCCAATTGGAGACAGGACAGGGTGAGGTCAGAAAAACACATTTCCTATCCTTGTCCAGCCTTAGGAGTAGCATCAGCTATCCTACCATTCTCTATTGTCCGGAGTTTCCTTTCCAGTTCAACTCCTCGGTGTTCTAACTCATCCAGCTGCTGCTCAATGCTGTCCATCTCACCATATATATTCTCCACTGGGACATACTGATCTGACTGAACCTATCAAAAGGGGAAAAAAAGGAATCTTATGTTTTATTCCAAACAAGATTTGTATAAAGTATCAGCTATTTCCAGAGTAGACAAAGAGAAATACAGTTACTGATTATGAGACAGAAGCAGGACAGAATTTGGGAGAAGACACAATATGCCAAATTCCTTCTGACTTCTTGCCTGAAGCAGCCATTGACTGCCTAGCTCCTTCACAACCATGAAAGGCAGGCAGGGAGTGGTTTATTGTCTTTTATTTAATTGAACATTCAAGCATAAGGAAGCAAATTCATGATTAACGATCAGGAATCAAACTCCACCCCGCCCCCCTTCAATTGTGTCCAATTCTCAAAGATTGCCTGGACAAGTCCCTGAAGTTTTCTTGACAAAATTGTTCAGAAGTGGTTTGCCATTACCTCCTTCCTAGGGCTTATACAAAGTGACTGGCCCAAGGTCACCTTAGCTGCCTTTGTGCCTAAAGCAGAACTAGAATTCAGTTTCCCATTTCTAGACTGATGCCTTAATCGCTACACCAAATTTACTCTCAATTTATGTCATTCCTCTGTTTTATATAAAAGTTTAGGCATCTCTAGTCAAATTGTACATTTCCGTGAGTAGAAGTTAACATAGTCTGTACACGATACAAAGCTAAAATACATCTTTCTGCAAATCTGAATACATGCTTATTATTTATGTATAGATATTTACAAATTTAAAATATATAAAGAATGAATATTGCATGCACAAAGTTTGGGAGCACCCTTTTAGTCACCACTTTGTAACACAGCCTTGGAAGAATTGAAAACTTCCAAGTATTTCCTGTACCTTTCTATTTTCATTTTTAGAATTTTTTCCCATCTTCCTGGTGGAACTCTTCTAGCTTAAAATTCTTTTAGGAAGTTTGAGATCTCCACACAGAATCTTAACAATATTCAAGTCTGGGACTATGAAGGCACTGAAATATACCATTTGACCAAGGGTGCCTAAATTTATGCATGCAGCTGTAATTTTGACTATGGTAAAAGAATGTATGGAAATCATTAAAAAAAGAGAATTGAAGGTTGGAATGTTCCAAGCCACGTTCTAAGGCCACAATTTTAGAACCTGAGATGGTGATTTTTACTGTAGAGCAGTCTACAGAGAAAGCCATTATACCATTACATAGTAATACACTTCCTTATAGCATCTCTTGGCAACCTTCTTGTGCTGTGTCCCTTTCAGATATGTGAAGTTCAACTCCCAAAATTTGCCACTCATAATTGGCATGGATGAAAACTCTGGAAAATGAAGATTATCTAAGCTATCTTAGTATTCAACTCCTCTCTTAGAGGTTAGTAACCCTCTTCCAACATCTGTAAAAAAAATTGGAAATTCAGGAAACACCCTGCAAAAGTACTTCCCCATTTTCCCCCAATCCCAATTACCTTCCGTTTTATTAGTGGGAAACCATGTCCAGGAGCAGGAGGCCTTGCTGGTTTGGGTCCCTTTGAAGCTTTCTTAATAGAGGGGGAGGCAGCAGGTGATGGCTTCCGGTTGAAGGGATTCTCCTTACAGGATGACTAGATACAAACACATAAATCAGATAAAAACACATCTTGTGATTCTGGGCTTCACCCTCTTTCTTTAGTGGGAAAATTCCAAGTGCATTGCTAAAGAGTGTATCCCCTTCAAAAAATGCGGAATTTTCTCCTCCAGGTCAAATAAGTAGGAACAAATGGGTATATTGTCCAGGTCATTTTACATCTAGATCAGTATGAGATTTCTGAGAAAGGAAAATTAGGTGCTATAAGAAGTCACAAGTATTATGGAAACACTGAAGGATTAGACAGTATTTTCTGTCAACCTTAAAACCAAGACTCTAGGACTGTAGGAAGTTGCATTTAAACTGTCAGTCCGTCTTTTAGAATCTAACTGGCAACATCTCATCACAACAGGCATGATATTCCCCTCTGAAAAAAAAATCGGGGCCGGCCAAAAGAGACCCCCCCCCCCACCGCGCGCCAAGAAATCGCTGCCCAGCTCCCTTTTCCTGCCGCCCGCCCGGGCTCCGCTCGCACCGGCCACCCGCCCACCCGGGCTCCGCTCGCACTGCCCGCCCGCCCGGCCTCCGCTCGCACCGCCCGCCTGCCCGGCCTCTGCTCAGGTATCCGGCTGGGGCTGTCAGGAGTTGCTACCGCCAGTGCGGCTCCGCGCGGCTCCAGTCCCGCATTGCCTCGGGAAGGGAAAGGCAAAACCAGGAGCCGCTGCTGCCGTTGCAAAGCGCCGCCGCGGCTCTTCCTTTTTGCCTTTCCCTTCCTGAGGCAACGCGGGACTGGAGCCACGCAGAGCCGCGCCAGCGGTAGCAACTCCTGACTCGGGGCCTCCAAGGGGAGGGGAAGGAGGAGAAGAAGGGAGGAGAAAGGGGGGGCGATTCCCCAAAAAATCGGAATTCCGATTTTAATCGGAAGAATATCATGTCTGTCACAATTTAAGACAAAAGTTTTCCAGCCCTACTGTTTAATTGAATGGCAGCTTGAATTATGGACAGCATAATTTAGTTCAGGAACTGAGTGTTGAGCAATGTATTTTGCTTGTTTGTCTTATGTAAGCGATACAGACGCTTTAGGTGGTATGGAATCACTGCATAAAAACATAAAAGTACCATTAGGTAACTATCTTATAAGAACACAGGCATATCTAGTTCAGTTTTATTATTACTGACTAGATTTCCCAGATTTCATGATGGAGTCCTCCCAGCCCTACCTGAAAATACAATTCTTACTATGCAAAGTATGTGAGCTATGGTCCTTCCCTATAGGGCAATTCTTGTCTTCTCTAGTTTACATAATTTGTCCCATAATCATTTCTGGGGAAGTAATTCAGAAGCAAATAGAATGAACTTCTTGGTGAAAGCAGCGTCAAAAGTATTCTCACTAATCAAAGCGAGACAGAATTTTGCTCTCCAAATGAGGCTAGTTCTTTAACCCTCTGAGGAAAACCAAGTTGTGGTCAAAAGCAAACAAAATAATACATTTTAAAATGACCAGCTCTAAACAAAACTTCTGAACCAAATACCATTGGCCCTAAATCTAAGAGACCAAGAGACCAAAGAAGCATTTCATGGACAAAAATGGAATTGTCTGAATGCTTTATAGTGAACAAATCCTATATATTTCCTAGAAGGATACTTATACCAGTGAATAGCTTTGGTAGGGGGAGACCCGGGAGAATAAGGGAAGGAAAGAAAAAGACAAGAGAGCTTCCAGCTATGCCTGCTACCTACCTTTGGCTGCGCTTTGGGTGAAGGAGAGTTACTTGCAGATCCACTGTTCAACTCTGATGCCAAGAGAATGGGTGTGGGAGATGCTCCAGCAGGAGGCTTAGGAAAGATATTCCCAGGGCTGGTTTTCAAGTTCCCAGACGGACAAATTCTGGCAGTCTGTAAATGTCCACCTTGTGCCTCATCACCATAGCCCGTCAAATCACTGGATGATGATAAGGAGGAATCAGTAGAACAGGCGGGCAGAACTGTAGGTCCCTCACCAGAAGGGACACTGATCAGTGGGGTGTCCGAGTGGGAAAGGATGGAAGCAGCAGGAGCATGGACTGTAGGCTCAGAGGAACTCTTCGGCACAGAGGCATCATTCAGGTTGTCAGCAGCCTTGGCCAAACACTCAGATGTGATACTCTCCAAGCTGAGGGCTGGGGACGGCGTGGAAGAAGATGGTTCTGAGTGGGAAAACCTGGAGATGGGATGGTGAACTGCAATAGGAAAGACAGAGTTTGGAGGTAGCATAAAGAATCTTTTGGCTAGTCAGGTCCATCGATGGAAGTCCTGCAGCTAGTGACAGAAAAGCACCATATCTCAAGCACCCACCCTTTTGTCCCTTTGATCTTAAGGATGTACAGCCTTTTCCAAAACAAAGGCTATGTTCCAGAAAACCCATTCCAAAAGAAAATGAGGCCTGAACAAAACAGTATTTGGAAAGACAACAATTTCTAATTTAGGGTCTTCTGGTTTGAGCTTCTTCAGCGACAGACCGGAATCCGTGATCGTGCACGGTTTTGATCTGTGCTTGCCGCTGGAGTGCCCCGAGCCGGCTGGTTTCAAGGCTAAGCCACCCCGTAGAGGTGGTGAAGAGGGGGGAGACTGCCAGCAGGATCGAGGAGAGTCGCATCTCCCCTCCCCAGCTGGCCATTACTCCCTTTCCTGAAGGCGGTTGCAGCAGTGGTCAGAAATGGCCACCTTAAAGAAGAACTCGACCAGAAAAGAATGTGCAGGAGGAAGATAAGAAGAGAAAGTTTTGGCTGACCGGGTCGAACTGAAAAAGCAACAATATAAGGTACCCTGGAATTTGAATTATAAAGAATAACATTGCTCCCAAAGAAGACTTTGAAGCGGTGAATGAGAGAGGGAAGGGAAAGGATTTGGTTTTTTTTCTTTTCTTCCCTATATTGACAACTAAGGGATTTAAGCAAGAAATCGGCAAAAATCCACTTTGACATTAACAGATATTTAAGCTGAAAATAAAATGTCAAAGGGATAATAAAGATTTCTGGATTCGCAAAAACTTTTAAAAGAAGGAAAAAAACAAAAGGGTGGGATCTGGAAAAATGGAGACCACCTGGAAGTGAAAGGAGTTAACAGTGAAACTTTAACAAGATTCCTAAAAGATACATTTTAATTGAAACTTTGTAACAAGATAATAGAATCCCAGGAACAGAAAGTGGAAAAAAGAAGCAAGAAGAAACAGCTTTGGATTATTTGGATTACTTGGTGATTTTTGGATTTTTGGCTATTGGATCTAAAGGACTAAAATTAATCGGTGGTTGTTTAAAAGTTTTTAAAATGGTATCACTCTTGGAAGAATTGAGAATAGAACTTAAAAAACAGAAAGAAGATGCACAAGAAGGAAGAGGTTCTTTTGGCTTCGTATTTCAATTTTTAGAAATGGAGATCCTGAACTATGTGAAACAACAAGAAATGCCTGTAGAACAAGAAGGGCAGGACAAAGAAGACGCCATCTTCAATGATCAAGTATTTCTATGCGGGGAAAAGAAAGGAAAGGGGGGAAAGAGAGTGAAAAATTTAAGATTTGAAAAAACAACCCCAAAAAAGAATAGTTTGAAAAGTAATTACAATATTAGGGAGAAACAAGAGAGGATTACAGAAGAGAGAATCAGAATTAGAGAGAGAAGGGGTTAAAAAGAGAAGGGAGAAGAAGAGGGGGAAGAGGGAAAGGAAAAGAAATTATAAAGGACAGAAACAGGACATAGAGAAACAGGAAAAACGTACAAAGATTAAGGGTATAAGCCTACTTAGAAGACAGAGATAATGGGTAAAAATTTAATTGAAAGGGGGATTCTGTAAGGGTACATAAGATAGTATTGTTATATTAGAAATAGAAATGAACTTTGAAAATATGAAACAAGTGTGATTAAAATGATAGATAAAATACTCATTGTAATGTAATGGAATGTTTAATAAATAGATGAAATAAAGAGAATGAGAATGGAATGAGAAAAGGAGGGGAACATTTTAATTATCATTAATGTGTTATAAAAATTTAAGTGAAGAGGAATATGAAAAAATTATGGAAATATTATAAGTATTCCTAGAAGTATGATATCCTATTGAAAAGAAATGTTAAAGATGTTAAAGATTATAACTAACATTAACGATAGAGCTGAATTGGAATAGAATAAGTGTTTTATTTATTATTGTTATATAAATACTTTTTCTTTAAGAACTTAGTACGTATTTTAAGAATGTACCAAGCAGAATTCGACTGGAAGTTATGTGTTATATTGAATGTTATAATTGTAAAGGCATAAATTGAAGTTTAAATAAGTTGAAGGGAAAAATTAAAATATGTAAAGGTGTTATTTAGTATTCCAATTAGTAACTACAGGGGAAAATTTTGTTTAATGAGAAAAGAAAATATGAAATTGAAACAGGACAGACAAAAGTATAAATATAATGATTAGAAAAATATTGAAACTTAGAAAAAGATATATATATAATTTAATTTAGAAAGGAATGAGATAATTAAAAATAAGATTGAGAAAACTAAGGGAAGGGAAAAATTATTGAGAAAATGTTAAAATAGTAATAAGATATGGAATAGAACACAAAGATGAATATGAAATTGAATTTGTGTCTGTATGGAGAAGTGACAACTCGGGACCATGCTATTCTCAAAAAAAGAAATTTTACTTGTATTATGTTTTGTGAAAACCCAAATAAAATTTTTATTAAAAAAACAATTTCTAATTTAGGTTAAATTATATTGATTTTATTATTAAGATAATGATAATTTCTCTCTTCTGTTACATAACCTTACATTTCAGCAGCAGTGTTTTGAGGGCTCCCCTCAGGTTTTTGAAGACTGCATAGGACCATGAAATTCAGGTCATGCACCACTGCTCTGTGCCCTCCAAACTATGGCGGGTAAAAACAGAGGGAAAAGGGAAAAAAGGAAAAATGCCTAGAGAAAAAAAATTAGGCAAGTCCTTCCCAGTCTTCAAGCTGCAGATCAATTAAGTTTCATAATTAACACACCTTCTAAAAAATAGGAGGAAAGAAGAGACAATACAACACACAACACCTTGTCTTTAGGTGAAGAATGAAAACTTATTTTCAAGACTGAATGCTGGAAGGGAAGTTCTCGTCTTAAAGGTCCTTCACTAAGGAACATAAGAAAAATGGAGGCGAAGGGAGAAAATATTTAACAATAGCTCTCTGCCATTTCCTTAGTCGTTCAAGAATAACCAGAAAGGACTAGGTAATTGCATTTGTTTTGGAAGCAACTGAAAGATCAAATCAACAGCGATCCATATTGTAAAAAGGAGAAGCCATTCACATGCTGGATAAGTCAGGATACACATCTAGAGGCATCCCCCCCACCCCACCCACACACACACACATTTTAAAACATGCTGAAGAAGCTCACCAAGTGGGGAGGCACTGGGTGCTCTTGGAGCTGGCCGTTTCTTTGTCTTGGGGCTGCTTGTGGGAGTAATGCCGTACCAGGGATGAGCAGGCTTGAGACCACTCTCCCCCTCCCTTTGTTCTTGCTTTTGTTTGCTCTGTGATATGACAACTTCCTTCTCATCCTCTTCCTCTTCTTCATCTTCAAAGGGGTTATAAGGCTTTGGCTCTTCCAGGACAGGTCTGTCTTCCCTGATTTGTGCCTTTCCTCCTTCTACTCTACCTTCATTCTCTTCGAAGGCCACTGGTGAGCTTTCCTTGCTATTGCCTGGTGGCAGAGGAGCCGGCTTCTTCCTGGGTTCTGTCTGAACCAGTGCAATCCATGGAGGGTCTCTGGGCCTTAGCAATTCACCAGAGCTGGTTGGAGGGCAAAAAAGGACAGAACATAAGGAAGGATGAAAAGGAAGACTGGAATCCCAGCACCTAGAAAGTTCTCTGTGAGTAGAGGAAGATAGGGAGATGCATGTCTTCTTGGGAGAAAATAAGATGCACTTTCTGATACGTGCAAATCTAAATATTCTGCAAGTGTGCTACACAACACAAAGAAAGGCTATAATGGAATAGCTAAACACAAAATAATTATTCCTGCAATTTTATGTTGTCTTTCATTTTAATTCTGTAAGCTTATATCCTTCAGGCTGCAAGTACACGTTTAAAAATGAATGGATAACAACAATGGTAATTGTTTTAGAGGAACAAAATGGATTTCTTCTCCATGCACACTTTCAGCTCTTCTTCAGAGGTGAAAGAAGCAAAATGAATTTAAGTAAATGTTATCGTTAATCCCCACACTGATAAAGATTTAGTAGATAGTTATGTAAATGGCCAGCTGCAAGTTTTCCTATGATGAATGAACAAACCCAGCTCCCACAGAATAAGAGGAAGGCTGCTAAAAGGAAACTAAAAAAGGCATTTACCTTAATGTATTATTTGATAAACTGTTTTCTAAATGGGAAATAGTTCTGTTGCTGAAATCTTGTAACCCTATCCCTTTCATCTCAATAAATCACACTGAAGAAGACTTCGTGGGAAGCTTGCTTGGAAAGATTTACTTGGGTTTCAGGCAACTGCCAAAGAGCTTGACAGTAAAATAACTCAGACTAAAAGCCTGCAATGAAATAACTGTCTGTTTAATTCAAATGTGTATATAAAGCTCAACAACTTGCATATCTCTGCAGATTTTAGTCTTCCTCCATTCTACAATGTGGGCATAAATAACAAGATCTCTTTGCAAGGTGTAGATAAGCCTTTTATAACTTTGGATCTCCAGATGTTTAAAACTACAATACTGTATTTATCATCCCTGACCAGTAGAGAAGCTGACTAAAGATGGTGAATGCTAGAGTTAGGATACATTTGCAAAAGCAAACCTCTTGCCACTTTGTCTCCCATCAATAATTTACAACCCTGCTTTCAGTCTCCTCAGACCTACATTTCTTCATTTCTCAGACCTCAATTCTTGAATACTTCCCTTCTCTCTACATTGTCTTAAATCTCAAAGGTCCTTTCCTTTTTTCTCTGTGGTCTATGAGGTTTGAAGCCCAATGCTAAATAATTTTCCTTCCCTGAACTGAAAATTTTATGACTGAGGTAGACATTAGGTGCATGTAAAAGGATGGTCCAGAGACATCAGATCTGCATATGCTATCATATAGATCAGGGGTGTCAAAATCACATCGTTACAGTGGTGTCATGTGACATATCAGGACTTTTTCCCCTTCACTAAACCGGGTTTGGGAGTGGCCAGAGCATGACACATCCAGCTTGCAGGCCAGGAGTTTGACAGCCCTGATAGATCATACACCAAAGCCTATTTACACTCATTATTGCATCACCTGTCCATATTTCATTCACTATTTCAGTGAGCAGGTGCAGCAATGAGGGAATCATGCGGAATATATGTGTGTTATGATTCCTACAGAATAGAGGAATAAGATTGAGACATCATTTGCCAATCTAAGCTTCAACAGATATCCTTATCCAGACACAAATGTATTTTGGGACTGTTTTATGGTGAGCTGCTGGGTGTAGCTCAAAGGTGAATGCAGCCATGAAGAACATAATGCAGAGCTCTCTAAACCATGGCTTTACTAGACCATGGCAGTACTAGACCAATATGTGATGGCCAATCTGTCAGACACTATTGGATTCAGCTGTGTTGGCTGTATTGGGTATGTACAGTATATATTATACTGTTTGGAAAGGAAGGAAGGAAGGAAGGAAGGAAGGAAGGAAGGAAGGAAGGAAACAAACTTGGTAACATGTTTCCCTCTGTCTCAATAAGATTTGCAAGAAAAGAACATACCGGTCTGAGGAAGTAGGTCTGCTCCTGGGCTTTGGAACTGGAGGGCTGAGCTCAGGAAGTTTACCTATTCCAGAAATGAAGAAGACATAATTGTGTGTTACTCTATAAAACCACTTCCAAAATCATTACACTGTGGGTTTTTTTTTTAAAGTATATTCTTTGCCTTTATGCCTAGGAATGAAAGCTTGGCTATGTATCTATTCAGTATCTTATATTAAAGGAGAAGTTTTTCTGGAAGAAGATACACTGTCTCTTATTTCTGGACTCTATCATAATTCTTTGGCACATGCTTAAAAAGCCAGAGACCCTTTGGATGTATAGTACCATAATGCACATAATCCCAAATGGGATGGCCACTGCTGGTAGGGAATGATGGGCATTCTGGCCCAACTAATGGGAAAGCTCTAGCATAATTTTTTTTAGAAAACTAAATAATAAGAAAAAAAAATCCATGAATATATACACGTCAGTATTCCATGTTTCTATAAAAGACACATTTTTCTTACTTTGACATGGCCTCAACATACAGGATTACAAGGAGTCCAGCTAGAAGGTTTACATGACTGTCCATGTTTCCTTACCATTGACCAAATCAGATGGTAGCTCACTGGAACTCTCATTTTGCATATTGGCTCTGGGTCTTGGGACAGGATATAAGCTCAGTGGCGACAGGCTGGCTGGGTCTGTGCTCCTCCGAGGGGCAGGGGTAGGTCGAGGCTCTTTGAGATGCCCATGTTGCAGGCTAACTTTTTCTTGGATAAGTGTTGGTGGCTTGGTTGGTATAGGTGGCTTGGGAGGCATCTGTAAGCAAGAGCCAGAATTGGAAGTAGAAGTGGGCACTTCATTCTTTGGCTGGGTACAAGGTGTCTCAAGCTCTGTGCTTACTTCACCAACAGTTCTTTCCCCCATTTTGCCCATCTCTTCCACAGCTGATGAGTGACTTTCTGATATGCCATTCTTTTCTTCCATCTCATTACTCACTGTCCCAGCTTCTGTACTTTCCTTTCCAAGTAGAGGTTCTGGAGTTAGCTGGTTCTCAGTCCTCCCACTCAGTTTGCTCAGCTTACCACGATGCTGGGTACATACAAATGTGCCCAATTCAGGCCCAGCTTTGTAAGATCCAGGAATGAGCGTGCTGGAGCACTCCTTGCATCTGCCAGAGACATGAATCCATGATCAAAAGAAAAGAGGAAAACTTTCAGGTTCTTGCTTGCCTTTTGATAACAGGAACACCCAAAGAAAATAAAATTCAATCTGTGATTTTGCTACAGATTCACTTAGAGATTGGAAAAATACTTATCATTTTTATCAGTTCCCATCATCTCCACTTTTAAGCAAGAGCAGGTGGTGGTAAAAGTCCCCCCCCCCCCCCCCACACACACACAATATTTCTTGTTATTAAGCTCATAATACTTTATGTGGCTATATTGTAAGCTTCCATCTTATTTTCCCCGGAGAGCTTCTCTTTATTGAATTAACACATCCCATCCTAATTACCTGACCTTACTGCTTGTAGAAATTAAAATCCACAATTATTCTTCAAACTGAATGACATGGAAAACTGTTTTTTAAAGCTGGATTTACTGAATTGCATTTATGTTTTGCCTTTTCTCTGAGAGCTCAAGATTATGTTAAGAGAGTAAAGTGGGATGTTTCCCCTAATTTTATCCCCACAACCACAATCTGTGATGTTAAGCTGTGACAGCTCCACAATAAATAGTTAATTCTCTGATCTAAATTCAACTCCTTAACCACTGTGCCTGAGGGTTTAGGTTTTAGGTTTGCAACTCAACAAGACAAGTCTCGTAGAGCTGGAAATTACACAACTGAATCTCACAGTACTGTACTTTATATTCCCGTATTAGACAGTCCAGAAAAACCAAAACAGAAAAACTCTTTATTTCTTTCAAAGGTACAAATTATGGGATCCACTTCAGCCTAGAAACTGGAGGTGATTTTATTTTATTTTTGTTTTTTAAAAACAAGTAACTTGGTAACATAGTAAACTGCAAGGACATCATGGCCTTGAAAGGATTGAAAAAGGAAGAGATGTTCTGTTACCCTGGCACAACTACAGACCTTTTCTACAGGACTACAGATGAGAGACCCGTTTTATGTGGACTTGGATAGGAAGAGCTCACCTGAAACACTGACGGTGGTAAAGTTTGCCCTCAGCCAAATAGCGCTGAACCAGGTGAACGTGTTGCTGGCAAGCTGCACAAGGGCTGCTAAGGGAAGTATGCGAGGAATCCTCTCCCAGGCTTTCAGTAACACTGTCCTGAGGCAACAAGAATTGAGACGAAAATGTCTCCATGAACTGTGATTTTTGCAGACTTGAGACCGAGAGATGGCCTTTTGGTTAAGGATATGAAAGACACAAAAACATTTAGAATAATCTTTTTTTAACCCCTCTCTCAAAGTTGCTATGCTGATGAAGGCATGGTAGGATTTTTTTTTTACAGTGCCTCAAAATGACGCTTATAAAATGCTGCCCAGAGTTGTTTTGATATAAGATGGGCAGCAAATACATGTAATAAATGAAGAAAATAAATAAAATAGTTATAAATTGATTAGATGCCATCTGACAACCATGACTGACACTTTTAAGAAAACTCTCAAAATTTATTTATTCATTCAAAAGTGACTATTTTGTTCAGAGGTGCAATCGTAGCTGGCTTTTTAGCATTTTGGAATGGATGTTTTACTTTTTGCCATTTTAACGTTGAGAGCTGGTTGAATATTAATATTGGTCTGATTCATGTTTGTTTCTTTGGGTGTGCATTAGTCATCCTGGACAAGTTTTACTGTAAAAACACTATTTTACATTTTTAAAAGAAAGCAATATAATTTGGGATATCCTTTCCCCCCCTTCCATTCAATCACATCCAATTCTCAGAGAAGTCCCTGTGGTTTTCTTGGCAGAACTGGTTTGTCATTGCCTCCTTCCTAGGGATGAGAGAACGTGACTGGCATAAGATGATCCAGGTGGCCTTGTATCTAAGGGAAGGGATTAGAGGTTACAGTCTCCCAGTTTCTAGACTGATGCCTTAACCATTACACCAAACTGGCTTTATACCCAAACATCATATCCTACTTTTGGATCCTGTGTGCAACATAGTATCTGCTTCTTTACATACAATTTTCTTCACAACCATAAAGCCCTTAAGCATATTTCTAATTCACAGGTATCATTACATTTCACTCAGTGTATATTTCTTTAATAAAACAATATGCTTTTCTGGGCAGCAAACTATGGGGATGAAACAATCAAATTAGTAATGTAAACAATTAAAAGTGCTTATTCTTTACAGGCATCAAAGACTTGTTTTTCTTTGGTATGGTCCTATGAAACTGTAAATACTAAAAGTTTCAAACAAAGATTTATTGAAGTGGGGAAAAGCATTCGCTTTGGTAGGCACTGCTTCCTGGAGATAGCCAAATCAATACTATTCTGAAACTCTGAGGCAATCTTTGATGCAGCTTTTCCTCATGTAACTGATATGTCGTTTGAAATGTACAAACCAAGTTCAACATAGCTACTATTTCTCTCTTGCAAACATTTTTACCCCAGTCCCTGGGATCCCCACCCCCACCCCAAAAAAGAATATTTATCCATGTTTAATACTTATTTTAATATAAAATAAATTAAATGGGATTACTCATTTTGCAAATACATTAATAACTGCGGTGTACTAAGTGGCAATTATTGCAACTCAAGTACTGTGGGGCCCTTGGCAACCTGTACTTGTATAATCCCAGACAGACAACATAAGCATTTATCAAGTATGTACTAGTGCATCATACATGGCATGATGGAGGAGGAATGTAAGCATAATCATAAAACCCACAAAAAAATGTTAAGTGATGAACAAAACCCTCAATAGTAAAGAAGACAGAAGAGGATGAGTTGTCAAATCAGGCACTTCAAATATGCAACAAAATTTCATTTTAATGTATGCTGATTCCTGCACATTTGGCCTTTCTTAAAGAGCACTCAGAAGCAAGTGCCTGCAATAGACTGGAAAAACAAAGAGAGTTTCCAGTTTGATCACACTAAATACCTGGGATGTAGATTTAGTTTCAAGTACAGGCAAAGGTTTATGAGTTGGCAGAGTCGGTGAGGAGGCAACAGCTGGGTGTTTCATAGGCATGCCGACTCTGGCTGCAAAAATAAAGAGAAAAGGGAAATTAATCTGTTAGGCAATAGATAAGTCAGAAAAAATAAGGTATGGAGCAACTTTTCTCTAGTCAGTTAGGCTAATTCCTGGTACCTTTACATAAGATTGGGGAAGTTGCCTTAAATATCCTTCAGTGTATTGAGGTATAGCTATTAATTATTTTGCCAGACATAAGCATTGCATGTTTTTTGAGGATCCAGAAGTACACATCTTTTTTCTAAATTCTTACTTGCACTTAGTTCTCTCCTACAATGCTTTACTTTTTCTGTGCAATGAGAAAAATGAAGAAAATTCTGCCTCTCCTGTAAAAGATCTTGGGTAAAGGAGAAAGCCAGGGTGAAATAAGGAAATAGTCAGAGCAGACCCGAGTTGCATTATAGGTTCAAGACCAATATTCTACCCACAACCTTAGGACCAAAGTCCAAAGCAAAGGGGTGACAGAGTCTTGCGATATTCCATTATTATTTCAGACATATTTGGAAGGAAGACCACAGCCAAACCTAACATTAAACAAGGTCAAAGGGATAGCTAAGTTTTTTTAACATATTACTTATCCTTTTTTACTGCCATAAGTAAGAAGTGTCATTAACGGGATGTTTTGGATGGGAGTTTCAGTTGGTTATGGTGTTAGTACCTACACTCCACACAAACACCAAACTCAGAGCTTTTTAAAATTTCATCCCGCTTACTATGGAATGTTTACAGGACAGACACAGACTTCAGAGGATAATTAAGACTGCAGAAAAAAACAATTACTACCAACCTCCCTTCCATCCAGGACCTGTATACTGCACGAGTCAAAAAGAGGGCTGTGAAAATATTTATAGACCCCCTCAAATCCCGGACATAAACTGTTTCAACTCCTTCCCTCAAAACGATGCTATAGAGTACTGCACACCAGAACAACTAGACACAAGAACAGATTTTTCCAAATGCCATTACTCTGCTAAACAAATAATTCCCTCAACACTGTCCAACTATTTACAAAGTCTGCATTACTATTACTATTAACCTTCTCATCACTCATCGCCCATCCCCTCCCACTTGTGACTGTATGACTGTAACTTTTGTCGCTTGTATCCTTACGATTTATACTGACTGTTTCCTAGTATGATTTGATTGTTTATTGTACCCTTTGACTATTATTAAGTGTTGTACCTTATGATTCTCTACTCTTGACAAATGTATCTTTTCTTTTATGTATACTGAGAGCATTTGCACCAAGACAAATTCCTTGTGTGTGTCCAATCACACTTGGCCAATAAAGAATTCTATTCTATTCTATTCTATTCTATTCTATTCTATTCTATTCTATTCTATTCTATTCTTCCATTCCATTCCATTCTATTATTCCATTCTATTCCACTTCTATTTCTATTCTATTCTATTTATCATTGGGAAATAACATTATGGCTCTAGCAAGGATTAGGAAACTAGTTCTGCCACAGCAAAGGAAATGAAGGAACTCTTCCTCCTCAATATATAATTATATCTCATATACATGACCTGCTGAAGCTCTCACCTTGAGTAGGGTTGTTAAAATGGTTGTAATACTGGGACACGTATGTCATGATGCTGAGGCAGTCAGGAACTCTCATGGAGACCATATCACTGGGATCCAACAAGGCAGGGATCCCCAGTTCTTGTTCAGCCACTTCAAATGCCTGTCAAAGCAACCAGGAGAGAATAGTTAGTTGATGGAAGCTGACACAGAGGCAGACTCTAGTGCAGGGAACCCCAAACTTGACAATTTTAAGACTTGTGGACTTCAATTCCCAGATTTCATCAGCCAATTGATCCCTGCTCTAGTGGAACAACATGAGGTGAAAACAAAGGAAGAGAAAAATGTCAAGGCAGCCATTTAACATAAAAAAGATATGAGAATACTGATTATATTTAATTGAATTAATTTGAATTAATTTTCACTAAACTTAAATTAAATCAAACTTAATTTTGTCCATCACATTAGGGATGTTATTCATAGGTAAAATAAGACTCACAAGCCTGTAGATCATCACTGATTTATCATCTTAAAAATCACTTCAGTATAAGAGAGGAGCTTCCACTTTGCCTGTTAGTAAGCAAGGAACAGGCCATGCTATTCCAGAATACTCAAAATGGCCTGTTATGTAGTCAAAACTTCCATGTTAGGATCATAACTTTGTGCAATATTGAGAATGGTCTGTGTTTGAGAGTGGGATGGTCTACATCAAGGGTCTTCAAACTTGGCAAGTTTAGGACTTGTGGACTTCAACTCCCAGAATTCCTGAGCTAACATGACTGGAGGAGGAATTCTGGGAGTTGAAGTCCACAAGTCTTAAAGCTGCCAAGTTTGAAGATCCCTGGTCTACATAATCCTAGGTCTTATACCATTGTTTGAGTCCCTTCATATCAGAGCATTGTTCATGGATAGTATTTCTGTTTCCACATATGTTTCGCTATAGTCAGAGTGAAACAAACTGACCCTTAATTAAAAAGACAATAATGATATAATAGTTGGTATATCAACTATTGATTCACCTATGATTAAGACAACTCAGCTTCAAATTCCTATTTAGCTACAAAGCTAATCACATGCTCTGGGGCTCTCAGCCTGACATGATGTATTTTGGCATAAATAAAATGGAGACAGTACATGACAAACATTGCCTTGATGGAACACAAAAGCAATAAATGAATGAATGAAAAGGTAATAAACATAAAACAGACAAACATATAAAAAGTGATGGAAGACTGTATGTTTTTCCCATGTACTTTTCCAGCATTAAAATTCCTGCTCAATCCTCCTCCATATTGAGCGCACAAAAAATTGCTTTTAGAAAATATTACACAACTGAATATGCTTTAATTAAAAAGAAGTTATGGTGATATCATCCTAATGGGCAAATGAAATTACCACGGCAAGTATTTCTTGTCATAAGCAATTACCAGGGACAATGAGTGAAGCAGAAATAAGAGATTAATGATGATGCAGATTTGCTTCTTATACTGTATAATCCATTACATTAGATGGAAGATTGGACTATTGACCAACTCCCAGCTGAACCAAAGTCTAACTGGATGGATCAATCGGTGTTCCTTAATCTAAGAATGCCAAAGCTTAGTTGCTTTTATGCACAAGTCAAAATGGAAAGTATTTGTAATTTATAATCTTTTTCTAAAGCAATGCATACAATATATCAAGAATAACAGCACTAAACTGTAAACAAACTAGCAAGAAGTACATTATTTTTAAAAGAACCTAAAAACAGATGCATATAATCCGTGCAAAAACAAACAGTATCTTAACTGAAGTCTTTAAAAATGTGCATGAATATCTATACATTCAAAAAGTGCTAATATTGTGTCCTTGCTCATTTCCTCTCAGACTAAAGCCAGCAAAGATTTCATCTGAACTAGTCTATTGTTAGTCAGAACTTTACAATTACATCAGCACTGTTTTCCTAGTGTAGATTGTTATTTACAGTCATTGGATAATTTACACTGGCCACAGAGGCAAAATCTAAGCACGTTCTTTCACTGTCACAACAAGCCCGTGATACTGGATTGCACACTTACATCTGCCAAGTTCGCAGTACAAATATGAAATCTACTACAGTAATACTGTACATGGAATTAAACACCTTTAGAATGCAAATATGTTACCTTTCACAAGGAGAAAAATCTAACTACTGAAGAACTTTGCTAGCAGAACAACTGGATTAGAGATGAGATTTATCTTGGCCTATCTACTAATGTTTTGTCAGAAACCTTATCAGCATCCTAATCCCTCTTCCATGATACCAACTTCTAGAAAAGTTGTGATAGTGAAAGTTAGAAATAGGCTTGCATAAGAAATTAAAGAAATTTAAATCAACAAGAATAAGCCAATTTAAGTATTGGTTTTCAACTTCCACCAAGCACAGCCAGCTAAGGGCACCAGGTTGGGAAAACATAAACACTTTTCAAGTTGAGCTTAGCTTCAAGTGGACTTCAGACACATATCCATCAGTGGTGGGATTCAATTTTTTTTACTGCCGATTCTGTGGGCATGGCAGGGGAAGGATACTGTAAAATCTCCAGTCAGAGGTTGTATTTGCCAGTTCTCCAAACTACTCAACATTTCCACTACCGGTTCTCCAGAACTGGTCACAACCTGCTGAATACCACCTCTGATATCCTCTGATATAGTTCTTTTGTTGGCAATATGGAACTGTGTTGCCATTGTTTTTTTCTCAGAGTTTTTTCAACTTCCCAGTCAAGCCCATAGCTCTGAAAATCCCCATTCAGATACTAACCAGACAATTCCTGGGCCAAGACAAAGTCAATCAGCCGCTGTCACTGCAAGAGATACCATATTGGAAAAGGCTGCACTTAATGAATATTGATAAAAATGTGAAAATACATAACTCAGAAAGTGAGACACTGAAATTTCTCTCTCTCCCCCCTGCTTTTCAGAACTGGTATTTTATTCTATTTCTCTTGTCTTTATATCTTCAACAAATGTCTTTGCTGCAGCTTTCCCAAACTTGATTTCCAGATGCATTGGTATTTACAAGTTTAGAACTGGTTAATAGTCATGCTATCCAGAAATATGGAGCATTATAAATCAACACATCTGGATAACGCCCTGTCAGACAAAGCTGAGTTCATCCTAACAAAAATCAGTTTTTTTCAGCAGCAGGTTTCTAGTCATCTATCCATAGCATGCATGGCACTCATTTAATGCAACTAGCACATGCATTTCAAGTTGATGTATGTCTGCTGATTTTCTTAGCAGACATATCAACTACAGTTGGAAAAAGGGACTAAAAAGCAAGCAGGATGAAGTATAATTGCAATGAAGCCAGAGGCCAGAACTTACCAAATGATTGTTCTCATATACATTTTCTTTGGACAGGGAAGTAAAGTCCCTGCAAAATGAAAAGAAAAGAGATTGTCATAGAACAAGTACATTAGATTATACAGTTCAGTGTTGCAGTATTTCCACTTTTACCACTAGTAACATTTTCAGAGAACAGAATCTTTGTAGTTCATTCTTTGATATTACAGTTGAACAAGAAAGCTTTAAATTGTGGAAGGAAACTGTAACTTTAAAACAATCCCAATAGAAGTGCCTTTAAAAAAAAAGAGATCTAGCATAAAAAGCATTCTGATAAGCAAAGGAACAGCTTTACAGCTCTTTCTTTGCAACTTGCCAAAATATGTCCCAATGGGTTCACCTGAAATCTAGGTTCAAAACCATTTTTCATGGATACACTCCATTTTCTCAATTCCTTTACACAGTTTCCTTGCACATGTTTCCACTATGTGAGAAAATCGCTGAAAGTGTGAATAGTTATTGAAAACTGTGCTGACAGTGAAGCTAAATTCAAGAGACAGTGAAACTAAATTTAGAATAGAAAAGAATTCTTTATTGGCCAAGTGTGATTGGACACACAAGGAATTTGTTTTGGTGCAAATGCTCTCAGTGTTCATAAAAGGAAAAGAAATACAGTAATTCATCAAAAATCATAGGTATAACACTTAATAGTAGTCAAGTGTTATAGCTATGATTCTTGACAAATGTATTTTTTATTTAATTTATTTATTTAAGAAAAGCACAATACAAGTCCGGGATCAGTACATTTTTGTTGTTGTTGCAGATGGCAGATATGTTTTTACAATACGCACAGAATACACTAACATGTCTCAGGTGGCTCTTTTAATAATTCCTAAACAAATTTGAAGAGGGGAAAGCTGATTAAATCCTATTTTGCTATACAATGAGAGCAACGGGACCTGAAAATCAAATAATAACTGCACATATAGTTGGAAGTGAGTTTTATGGTTATTTACCACTCATATCATATATTTGTTTATCTTTTTATTTATGGTTACTCAGTATGGAAATTTAGAATAATTTAAATTTGAGGCAAGATCTACTAATAAAGGTTACACACAACACAGCAGAACCTGTACCATTCTTACTGTTGCATAGCAGAGCTTAATAACTCTCGGGGTAAAAATATACATCTCCATAAGCTTCATTTATGAACCCAGAAATTAGCCTCAATATTGGACTTTGGTATAATTTGATACTATTCTGCCTTTAGAGTCAGCAGTACTTGCTGATGGACTTTATTATGTATTTTCAAGTCCATGTTAACTCCTAGTAATCAGATATACTTTCTCTAAGATGATCCGGCCTTTCAGGTCTTCTGACAAAGCATAGTTTGCCAGTGTAATTAAGTCCATCACCATCTATTACTGCAGTTGTCCCTCTTTTTCCTTTCAAATTTCCCAGCATCATGGACTTTGCAAGACAGCTGAATCTTTGCACCATAAGTTCAAAGGTATAATTTCAGCTGTCATTTGTCTCAAGTAAGAGCTCTAGCCTGGTTCTTTCATTTTAATCCAAAGTCATCTCTGAATTCTTTTACAGATTCTGATCTTCTTAGATACAGGTTGTCAAGGCATGTGTATATATATCCAAGGTCTTCACCTCTCCTATACCAAGTACTAGCCCACAGAATATTTTTGATATTTCATTTACAGTTGATATTAGTCAAACCCAAAAGGCAAAAACTGTCCACCACGTCAATGCATTGTCAATCCTAAGGTTGGTTGTTGTACCTGTTGTCATTATTGGGCCTTCTTTATATTTAATCTTATTCATTTTTTCCTCATGCTCCTTGACTTTCATTATTAGATTTCCAAATAATTGGCATTTACAGCTATCAAAATAACATAATCACCACAGCACAGATTATTGCTTTTTCTTTCTCCAATTTTAAAACCATGCTCATCTTCTTCAAATGCAACCCTCTTCAATATATATTCCATCCTGAGGTTGAATAAAGGAGGAGAAAGTCCTGCCTCACTCTTGTCAACCTGGGGCGAATCTCTTTCATCATATTCCATCCAGACTGTAGCTTCCTACCTGTGTGTAACTTTTGCTTAAGGACAATGAGATGTCCTAGGTTTCCCATTTTTAAGGACATTCCATACTGTGATACGATAGACACAATCAAAAAATCAAAAACCAATAAAACTTGTTTAAAATTTTTTTTTTCTACAAATAACAAAACACATTGTTTACTTTAGAAAATAGTCTTATTTTGGGGGGGTATAATTTATACAGCTGCTCATCTCACAACAGTGACTCTAGACAGTATGCAAATATTAAAACTAAAACAAGAAAATAAAATCTATGGCATCCAAGGTTAAAACAACAACCAACTTAAGAATACATCACTAGGAACCTTTGGCCTTCTCAATTATTCAGTATGCATCAGTAATCATGTCTGGGTTCCCTAACCTTTTCTTTTTTTTTTTTTAAAACAAGTTTTATTAATTTTTAAAACACACAAATTATCATTATTCATTACATGTTTAAACTTTTTCCCTTGTAAATTTAACAAGTCAGATAAATTATGATTCTGTTTTAAACCATTTCCATATAATATACCAAAACCTCTTATTCAATTTCTCTTTACTTCTCTTTACTCTTATTCAATATCATTATTATTATTTCATCTGTTTCTTTCTGACTTAGTTACCATTATTCTCATTCTATATTTCTACAAGTTTTTACCAATTCTCCCCCCAAAAAAGACATATACACACAACACACAAAACATAAAAAAAATATCTTTTTGGAAAGTAACTTGGACCCAGGTGTCTCTCTCTTCATGGACTTCAATTATATTCATGCTCATCTTACATATCATTACTTATTTTATTTACCATTCTAAGCCTTCTATATTAACTTCTCCACATATTTCACACTTCTTAATTCTACCTTAATTAATCATCTTAGTTTAAATCATTATATTTGTATCTTTTGTCCATTTTTTATCATCCCTTTGTCTCATCCCTTATAAAAAAAAGAAAATCAGTTTCTCCTGAAATCATTAATCAGAGTATGATGCCTTTCTATCTCCCCCCTAAGTTAATCAAATTAATCTTTAAAATAATGTCTAATACCCAATCAGATTTTGCTTGGTACATTCTATCTAACTAATACATCCAACACAATTAAGTGCATAATTAGAGAATAAATCCAAATATTAAAAAGAAATACTATAATAAAAATTTCATAATAACATCAATACCATAATTTTATTAAACTCTTTAATTAAAACAATATTCTAAACCCCTCCTATTATTAAGTTTTAAAACCAATCATTTTTAAACATTTTAACATTTTAATCTCTTATCAACTCTTAAACCATTGCAATACTACCATCTCATCTTATGTACCTTGCAAAATCTTTTTACTTTATCCATTATCCATAAAAAATTCCTTTTTTCCATTTAATTTCAAAACGTTGTAGCTTTTCTCCACCTTTTCCCTTTCTTTCTTTTCCCAACAAACCTTTCTACCCCCCCTTCTTCTAGCCTCTGCCTTACCGGCTTCCCTTCTCTGTCGTATTTCTTTTCCCCTTTGTTTACAATCATCATATTGGTTTTGCACTTTATTTTTCCCTTTCTTAAATGTTTTTTTAGATCTTAAGTCCTTAAATCCTTTAGTTTTCTTCTTTTCTCTTCTTTTCTTTTCTTTCTCTCTTCTTTTTTTCTGGATCAAATTCTGAAATTCATTAAAGATGGCTCCTTCCTTTCTTTCTTGTTCCTCTGCTGTCTTCATCTGTTGTAATTTTTGTTGATAATTAGTAAGCGCCATTTCTAAGAAAAGGAAAGCTTCTTCTACACCATTTCTTAGTTCCTCAACAGAAAGAGCCATTATAAATCTTTTCTTTTCTTTTCTCCTTCTTTCTTCTTGCAACAACCAGAATATTCAAAAGAAAATAAAAAAGATAAAACAGTCCCAAAATTATCAATCAGTCCAAACCAAGGCAGGGTTCTCACTTTCTCCTTCTGGGGTGATATCAATCAAAGAGAAAGAAAGTCCAAATCTGTTTAAAGTCTTGTTACAGTATATTCTAGTCTTCAAATCCTTAAGGCATCTGCTCCAACAAATCTTAGCATACAAATATTTTCTTTTTAATCCTCTCTCTTCCCACTCATCGCTTAAAACCAATTTCCACCTAAAAAAATAGGTTTCTTAATATCCAGTTATTTATTCCGTAGGAAAAGAGGGAAAGCTATCCTTTCAGCACCTTCAAGCAGCCGCTTTTTTTCTCTTCTGGCAGGTATTATTCAGAAAGTCATACTTTTCAGGAATTTTATTAAATATGTCTTAAAGTCCTAGGAGCCAAGAAAAACTTTCTCCTCTCAATCACTTTCTCCACTTCCTCCTGCGCATTCTTACCCGGCTGCCAGCTTCTTTGTGGCGGCCATTACGGACCGCCGCTGCACCGTCCTGGGAAAAGGGGGTTCTGCTGGCCAGGGAGGGGGTCTGCAGCACCCCCAAACCCTTCTCCGGATCCCCCCTACCTTCAGCTGCCCCTGCAGGGCAGCCTAGCTCCGTACCCGGCTGGGTCGGAGCCCCAAAAACGGCTAGCGCGGCAGGGATCGCGCAGCTTCGCAAATCCCTGCCGCTCGCGAAGCCGACAAACCGGAAGTCCGGTTCCCTAACCTTTTCTAAAGTCATTTTGAATGTCTGGTATCTCTCCTTCTATGTAGGGCTTTAATTTGTGTTGGATGATCCTAAGATATTATGAGATATTTTGCATAATTTGTTAAATGTCCTTGCTTTGGCTTTGGTATATAGACATACCTCTTCTAATTTTTTTGGACATTGTTCCATTTCTCAAATTTGTGGCATAGCTTGGTTATTATCTTTCTGATTTTTCTTCTGCTGCAATCCATACTTCTATAGCCACTCCATCAATTCCTGTAGTCTTCCACTTGATAATTATTGGAGTCCTTATCCAAATTCATCTTTTAGTACCAAAAGCTCTTGTAAAGTATGGAAGATCTTCTAAGATATCTCAGATGCTAACATCTTTACTGTGTAGAATTTCAATAT